CATGGCTCCATTCCCTCACTTTCCATCATTTGATTTAAGTTCTTATTTCTTTGATTTGAATCATTACTTCATGATTTGATAAAATCTCATTGTTCATTTCATCTTTCAAGAATGTCTACACTCTAGCACCATTTCTCCCGTATCTTTTTTTGTCTATGATATATAGAGATTGTGTCCAAAAATCTAGTGTAGAAGTGTGTGATAACACAATCTCTTGTAACAATATTGAGTGTTTTTGTAGTATAAAAAAATCAAGAGAAGAAGGTTGATCAATCATAGATTGAATTGATCAATCATAGATTGAATTGATTAATCTCAGAACATTCATCAAGAACAAAAAAAAATTGCCAAGAACCATGAGAGAACCAAGTGTGTGTTCTTCATTCACCAATATTTATCTTCTTGTTGATACCTTGTGACCTTCTAGAATTTGGATCTTGTGAGAATTAGTTGTGCATGTGTGTGTGAGATTCTTCAGATATTATTCATCATCTTTAACCTTTGTTAAGAATAATTGTTGTGGGTCTCCAACTATAAAGATTGAGTGTGAAAGGTAGACTAAAGGTACATTAGAGAATCTAATATTTTTCTTTGAAGTTATGTTTTTGTGTATCAGGTGGAAGAATCGTTTATTGGGCTTGAGTTCTGGTTGTATGTTATTCATAAAGAGAGAAAAGTTTCTCTATACTCTATTGAAGATTTTAGTGAAACCATGTGAAAGTTGTCGCCGAACAAAGTTGGGAGTCATCCTGTTATTCTAAGCTAATGGAAATCGCTCAGACAACTCTTCTTCAGATCTGAGGAAAGGATGTTGCATAAATGAAGCTTAGTGTAGGTTATTGTGGATAGCAAGATTATCGGATCAAGATCATTGAGGATCTTGAACGTTGCAGTTGAGTATATGCATCAACATAAGGAATTGTTATTTGATATGTGTGTAGGCTAATGCAATGTGGCTATTAGTGTTTGCATTGATGATAGTTCATTGTCTCAAAATATTTATACATTAATCTTGAAAATAGTGGAAATCCTGATCATTTCCTAATGGTTTTAAACCATTGAAGACTAGAGTAAGTGTCTGCGAGGACGATAGCACTGAAGCACTATATATCTTTGTGTACTCTTCTTCTTCCCTATCTCCCTCTTTAATTTTTTCATTCTTTATGTAAATGTTATTTCATAGCATCGTTTATATGTCATCTGGGTTAGATCATGCTTATAGGGGTTTATTGTATAAGCATTGATTTGTGTTGCTTCAGACCTATTGAATCGTCTTCGAGTCAATTATGATAAAAAGGATGTCTATGTTGGGATATTAAATCGCTTGGATCGAGTAGGTTGAATTATCCTATTGTGTTTGTGTCTTTGAGAGGTTCATTAATTTAGTGACATCATTGAAATATCTTGATTAGAAATCATCTTGATGAGCTTTTATGCTTCCATCTTATTTTGTTTATGCTTCCGCTCATAAATCTAAGATCTTGTGCTAAAAAAGTTTTTGAAATTGTTTGTAAAGGGAATCGGTCTATTAAAACCCACCCGCCCCCCTATTTAAACTTTTTCTTATTTATATCTTCAACCAACAGAAAAAGCCTTTAGTAGTCGAGTTCGGCCTTCAAGGGTGTTGTCCGATGTGAACTAGAAGTCAAATGTTTGGAATCGGTTTAAAAAGTTGTGGAAAACAAACACATTAAATGCATTTCCATCATTAAAGTGTTTCACTGCTTCCTTTTGACATCATATCACGAAACCGACCTTCAGAAATGGATACCTTCCAAAGACCAAGGAAATTAACCTTAGGACCGCAACTATAGCCCTTAAAGATAGGTTCCACTGTGGGTAAGCAGGGAGAAAATGTTTGTTCTCAAAAGAAATACAATGACAATTCGAATAAATGAAAAAAGTAATCGCATATCAAACCATAAATAAAATTCTTACAAAAGAAAAAAAGGTATGCAATTCATATGAGTCTGGTCTCAAACCATAAATGCATAGCACCCTTGCTCAAAAGAACCAACATCTAGGAGAAACTACATGGTAGGGCATTATAATATTCGATTCTAAAATTGAAACTAAAGAGGTTGCACATCACCATTGGATTTATGAGTGATCACTGAATGCAGCAATTTATCCCCTACTATCTTCCTCATTTTCTTTATCCATATTTCTCTTGTAACCTTTTTCGCCTAAACCCAAACAATAATCAACAACAAAATAATTAAAAACCTTAAAGCAAACCAATTCTAAAAGTTTTATTTACTTACTTGGTAAACACGGTAGGTTTTGAGTAACAAACACATTTGTGATGGTTTCAAATGCGTTGAAACTTTTGCCACAAGATTAGGAAATGACACATATTCTGATCGAGGCTTTAACGTCCCAAATATTTCTGGATCTGTTCAAACAAAAAAATAAATGATAATAATTCTTAAAACATGTAGATGAAAATGAAAAGAAAAAAAAAACACGTACTTACCCTTGATATTCTCATAGTAGAAACTTAGGATATAATCTGGATGAATGTATGAATTCATAAAAGCAGTCCATATAATATGTTTTCTCGGTGCTAAAATATCATCAACTCCTGTGTCGTATTCATTACAACTAGGTTGGCTTTGTTTTGAATCAGCAGCAACACTTTCAAATTTACCTACTATCACCCTACATAGCAACACATGCCTCAAACCATTCTCATCTGCCACTGTACACATTGCACTATCAATGGAAAAATTAGCAGAAAACAATGAAACACCAATACCATGAGATTCATCGTCATCGTCATCATCGTGATCATGAATGTTGCATCGTGTGAATCCAAAAGATAGAATATCTATGAGTTGATCTAATGAGCCACCATACCATGCGCCTCTAACTTTGGCATCACCTCCATTTTTAATTGATACAGCCTTTGAGAAGATGTGAAAGGATTGTAAACGAGCTTGTCTTGTTAAATTAGAGGAAACGTTGTTTTTGCGAACGGATATGATATTTGTAGCATGTTGCATAAATCCCATACCCTTTAAGAAACCTTTCTTGATAAATTCATATTCTTCGCTCTCTTCTTCAACTATGTTCATTAGTCCATTGCAAGTCAATTTCTCAAATGAATGCATTTTATTTTATTTTGCACTATGAATGTCTCTTACAATCTCAATTACGTGATTAGTTGTATTTATATTTATATGATTCATGTATGCATGAATTGAAAGGAAGGGTATGTTTATAGTATTTAGTTTGGCCGGTTAGGGCTTTGGAAATAAGTCTTGGGGCGCAAGACAGGAGAAGCCGAAGTTGTTGACTATATGAAGATGATAATTGACGGTTTTAATTGTGTGGCCTTTGTGGTCTTGCAGAAGATACGTCATGCCATGTGCATTTTGCGTTTTCTTTCTTAGGGCTCAAGTTAAGACATGGTAAATTAGTGATTACTTTCATTTTCGCAGGGGCAGCTTTTTAGATAAAACAATTAGATTCCTCACAGTTGCGCATAGAAAAATATTCAATTTATATCAATATATTATACGATAATACTAAAATTTATTAGTGAAATAACAAAATATCAACTGTATTTAAGATATATGAAATAAAAATACATTAAACTAATAAATATAATAATTAAATCTCAAAACATAGTATATAACTATAGGTGTGGATTTGGATTTTTTTTTTAAACTAATTTAAACGGTTTTTAAAAAATATATATTTAGCATTGTCCAGATTTTATAAAACAAAATACAAAATTCAGTGTGAAATTCATTTGTTTGCGAATGACGATAGTAACTTTATTTTAATTTTGTAATCTAGTAGTAAACATAATGTGTAACCCTTAAAAGAGTACAAAATCGATTGTTATAGTCCTAAATGAAAAGTAACATCTTTAGTGAGCACTTATATCAACTCTACTTGGTTTAATCTCTTTTTTTTTTTAAAGGTGACTTTGCTGAGGCCATACATCTACTCTACTTCGTGGTTTTAATCTCTTTTCTCTTTGAAAAAGGTGATTTTAATCCCAAAGATTTTGCACATAAAATGGAATATAACGATATTCTCCCAAGGAAAAGTAAATAAAGAGAGCAAAAATTTTAATGAGGCCATATATCTACTCTATTTGGTGGTTTTAATCTCTTTTTTCTTTGGAAAGGTGATTTTAATTTCAAAAACAAATTTTCCGGAAGACTATGGATCCTCTCCTTCCCTCCTTTTCTCTCCTTAACCAAAAATGTGTAATAGAATAAATGGAATTAATAAAAATTGATAAATAGAAGAGAGAGAGAATATTAGAGAGATAAAGATAAAAGAGTGAAAGAGATAGTTGAAGAGAAAAAAATTGATGGAGAATCCAAGTCCCAATTGTAAAGACTTGTTCTTATTTCAAATACCAATCTGCACCTAATTCAGCTTATTCTATTAAGGGCACACTTGTTTTTTTACACCTCCTGAACATGTTAATCACATAAATAGTGTACATCAAACATATTTCTTCCTCCTATTAAACCCAAGTTCCCTTATTCAAATTATAAACATGTCACCAATAATAACTTGGGTGATTAGCATGGACAAGCTGTTATAAACTTTTAAACAGTTTGGAATTGTTGTGCTTCTATCAAAAAAAATATTGGCATTAATCATAATCCCACTTAGCACGTTCTTACATTAAAAACTAACAATCAAAGAAACATCAAAATTCCACAAACTAAACCTTGCCTTGGAAAGAAAGGCGTGTATATCATGCAGCCAGCCAATGCATGACACAAACACTGCCACTTTTCAACCGTTAACCAATACAAAATGTTCTCGCCCTACTACAAAATATTAGCTGTAGCAAAGTAGTAGAAAAAGAAAAGCTACTTTCAGAAAGAAAAATAAAACATTCTCCCTCCAAGACCATCAAGAGCAATAAATATAGCTTCCTCTTCAAATGCACACCAGCACAAGCTGCAAACGCCCTCTCCCTAATGCAAGATATGGGAAGTAAATGACGTCATAATTCAACTACAATCTTATTCTTCCTGACCTTCATCCTTGACAAGCTTGATCATGTCGTCGATCCGGAGAATAGTAATAGCAGCTTCAGTCGCAAACTGATGAATAGCAGTGAATAATTTCGCTCAGACAGATTGTATAGAAAACTGTGTTGAGGTCAAAAACTCACCATTTATAACATAATACGTACCTGAATAATTTTAACTTTGCTCATTGCAGGCTCGATGACTCCAGCTTCCAAGTTGTTTCTAATCTTTCCTTCTGAAAGATCCAAACCCATGCTGGAAAGACAACAAAAAAAATACTTATTTTAAGATATGTCAATGCTGAAACTAGTGCAGCTATTGTGAGCTCGTACAACAAAAGTCAGTTTATCCAGCATCATTTCATGTTCTGTTATTTCAAACCTCTAATCAAACCTATATGATATTAAGTAGCATATGCAAAAACTTGTTCAACTTGTCTAAACCTATAACCAAATTTGCTTGTTTTCATATCTCAGATGCATCTTTTAAAGCATAAAATTCCCAAACAAACAAAAAAATAGGGACGCAATATTGCTAAATCCAATCAGTTGCTTCATGTTGTGATTGTGGATAACATATATTTGAACATAGATAGCTGGAAAACATACATTTGAACATCTTCAAAATATCCACAGCCCTATCTATATGTAGAGCTCCTAAAAACCAACAGCTTTCTGGTTCAGGTTTATAAACTAGATCATTTTATGCAATGACTGGTTCAGTAATATAATGGTTCAATACCAGTTTGGATCTGGTTCAAAGCTATGTTTTAGTTTTAAATTAATGAGCTTCAACTTCGTATTCAAGTGTATATTTTCCACATTAGTTAACCTCATTATACTGTTATATCAGTTTCATTTCATAATTAATTAACTAATCAAATGGAAATTATTGCTGCTGGTCTAATTCATTATTCCTGGAAAGATGGGCAAATTTAATCTAGCTCATAGGCATATATACATATGTAGGTTTTCATTGCATTTACAACATGATTTAGCTTTCCTTGCTTTGCTTAAAACATGCACTCACACCCTGTACATATAATTTATTAATATGACTTTAGAGTAGTTTTGGCACTGCTAATCACTGGGTATTGCTTTTTTAGGTTTCTTTAGTACAAGGATTCAGGTAAGTTTTCAAAAATATTGTTGGGGCATTTTAAAATGCCTCACTTACAATATACATATTCTCATATGCACACCCCTGATTACAGAGGTTAGAAGAAAATATTGCAAATGCTGAAAAGCAAATGACACAGCAAAGCATAAAACTCAACATAATGCCCTAATGCTCAGGCAAAAATAGTAATAATACAATAAAGGAAAATACAGTTAGTATTTAATAGTTGCCAACCTTGATAAATGCTTCTTATCTGCTCTAGTTTGTGCAGTATGGTGGTAGGCCCGTAACTTAGCAACCAGATCGGTGGCATCCTTAGCAGCATTGACAGAAAGCACCTGTGCCAAAAAAAGAGTTACCAATAGATACAATTTTATGGGCTAACATAGTATGAAACCAGAGTTTAACTTTCAAAGAGCCACTTGACACAACAGAAGAAGTGGGTTAAATAATAGCCATAAAAAGCAACTATTTTTTATACTACATTAACCCCACATGAAAGCCAGTTAAACTAAAAATGTGGACAAAATTTACCGAATCACTTAATTTGTGCAGAAACTAAGTTATACACTGATGCTAAATTCTTGGACGGGGTATAAAACCAAACTTCACACCAATAGTTTCACAAAGCCTTTCCACTATAGTTATATGCAAAACATGTATATAAAACCAAATACAATACAACTCTGTTTGCCTCTTACCTTTGGAATGATCAACAGAGACTCAGCAAATTCTGCTATGGCCAACTGCTCCCGTGATCCTAAAGTTGTAGCAAGGTATTCCAAATAAACTGACAGTGCTGATTCAACAGCACCTCCACCAGCAACCACCTGAATTTATATTTTTGAAAAAACACGCTTAAGAATACAGATAAAACAGGAAGTAAAATAATAGAGTATCAATGAACTGCAGATCGGCTTAAGCGGGAGAAAAATCAATTTAATCAATGAGGATGTCAACGGGTAACAATTTAACCATCAAAAGTCTAATCACGAATTAATTCAAAATATAATTGTTACTTAGATTGTGCACACTATACAAACCTGTTTGTATGGCTTATTTGTGTTTATCAACTGGCACAAGTTTTGTGACACTGTTTGGAAGACGTTACAAAAACAGCTTATGAAATTTTTCATAAACTTTTTAGAACTAATTTTATAAGTTCTTCAAGATAGCTAATGAAAACATCTTATAACATTATAAAAAAAATTTAAATTTATTTTATCTTGTGTTAAAAAATTAGCTTATGCAAGCTTCATTCATAAGCACTTATTTTGATAAATGCTTGTGATTTAAGCTTGCAAATAAGTTGTTTATCCAAATACACCCTTTATTATAATGTATGCTCCTTTAGATTATCAACCAAAATACCTAATTCTTGCTTCAAAACTCCTCATTAGTTATTGGTATCACTTTCCCTTGCAACAAAACTTTAAGACCCAAGTTACCCCACCAACAGATCCCTCATATAATATATTCCACTTGTAAGAAATGTTCAGTTTTGGACAACTTAATAGTTCCCAAATAGGATTTTATAAATAGAGAATGCAAGCTTACTGTATTTGACTCGAGCGTTCTCTTGACAATTGATAGTGCATCATGCAGAGCTCTATCCATCTCATCAAGCATATAGTCATTTGCACCTCTAAGTACCAAAGAGACCTAAAGAGGAAAACACAGTCAGGAGATAATGTATATTCATACACAATATGCAACCAGATAATAACTCATATGATTTCATAACCGTATCATCACTCAATAATGCTAAAGATTCCACATTTTATTGGGATTTCTATTTACTTATCGATAGGAAATTTAATAATTGAAATTCTTTATAGCATCAACTTGCCCTCTTTATTAAATTTTATACAAAGTAGTTACCATCACAATGAGGAAAATAAACCAAAAGAGGAAACAGCTACTCCACTCCTTAAAATATGAAGGCCTATCCCATCATGTTATGCTGTAGAAATTAGTTTTATATTCTTTTTAATTAATAAAAATTTTGCTTCTGGCTTTTAAAAATAGTAATTTTCCTGAATCGATGCCAGTACGTGCATGCATACCCAAAACAAAGTAAAATAAAAAAATTAACTATGCTACAGTAAGATCTTTGAGTAGTCCGTTAACATATGCAAAATGATTGGGCAAATTGACACCATTGATGCTTTATATTGTCATTTTATTTTTTGTTGCTCTTTTGGCTATGGAGGAAGATTCTTGCTCCTCAATATTCTTGTACTTCATATGTTTTAATGAATTTATACTTTTAAACAAAATATCTTCAACTGAATACCACTTTCCTAAGAACTTACTGCACCAGAAGTTTTGGTCCCTTTAATCATGATTACAGCATCATCAGAAATACGCTCCTCAACAACTTCATCTGCAGTTCCAAGAAATGACGGTTCAAAAGTTTCCTCCCCTTCCATATCAGCAAATGTTGAGACCTGCATCAGTCAATCACAATAAAAATGAAGTCTGATAATCAATAGAGTAAAATAGTTTGTGATCATTTAATTTAAAAGTATGCTAAACAAATGACAGCACTTCAATGACAATTATAATCAAATCTTTAAATAAATATACAGATGTTTTAAATATTAAAAAACAGTATTTTTTTGAAGTTTGAACTTTTAATTGGCATATTGGAGATGATGTGAAAGTATGAAAGTAATAATTGAACTTTTAACCAAATTCTTACTTGTCTTAAGTATGGGTTTGTACCTATTATTGAAAAGTTATTGAACAGTTCGTTTAGATTCTCCATATAACATACTTACATACATGCAAGGATATATACTAGAGACATATGGTTATACATGCATATACAGTAAAATTTAATCTTATCAACTCAAATGAATACCACTTCATAAGCACTTTGCACCCAATGCCCCATTCTTCCACACAACAAACCAAGTGATCATACTATATTAATCATACACGAAAAAGATTGTAGCACCTCTCATTCTACTTAAATAGTGAAACATATGTGATATGAAACAACAAAATGTGTTCTAACCTAGAAGTTTGGTGTTAATTTCCAAATAATGCAAGGGAAAGATAACGTAAATTAGAATGACTAGAATTGATAACCACTTGCTTCATAGGTGTGTTTTTTGACAAATTATGAAAAAATTACATATTCATTCCTGGAATTTTTTAATAATATATTAAACATCCCTTTTTTCTAGAAGAAAGTTTACAAAAGAGAAACTAGATGCTGCAATTACGACAATCTAGAAGCTCTTAGAAAAGTAGTAAACATTGAAAAAAAGATGTCAGCAAAAAACACAACCTTGTTTAAAGGTTTTTTCTATCATTCTTTAACTATTGATCAAGTAATGCCTAAGGATGCTTAAATGGAATGGTATTAAAAGCCATTCAATGACCAAAAATATCAAAGTCAAAATACAGTGTAAAATGAAAATAATCCCTTTTGCAAAGTAGCAAATATCTAAAAAAGGATGCTAGCAAAAAACACAATATTGTTTAAAGGTTTTTTCAATCATTCTTTAACTATTGATCAAGCAATGCCTAAGGGTGCTTAAATGGAATGGTATTAAAATTTAAAAGCCATTCAATGACCAAAAAATATCAAAGTCAAAATACAGTGTAAAACGAAAAAATGATCCCTTTTGCAAATTGGGTCTGTAAAGACATAACAAATCTAGTGTGAGTTATTCGAATCATTCTTGTAGGACATCAAAAGCTTCAAACAGTGTTTCATTTAAAAAAGGAATTCAAAACATCTCAATCTTTTCAGACTGTCATTCTATCTAGAAAGAATTCAACATGAATTGCTATTTATTGTATGGAAACAAATACATGTTCTTTATTCCTATTCCTAATCCATACAAACATCAACAATCTTTTCTTCAACTGCAGAATAAAATGGGAGGTAAAAAATACGAAACGGTGCATTTTCAAAAAGTCTACAGTCATAGATATTATGATTATCTGCCAACTTACTAGTTTGTCCCACAATTTTAATATTTAAACAAAACAAAGGCTTACCATTGTTGCTCCAGTTGCTTTGGCAACATGTCGCATATCCTCTTTTCGCACACGCCTCACAGCAATTGCCCCAGCCTCAACAAAGTACTGAAACCAGGATTAAGTTGTCAGGCAGAAATACTTAGTTATTCCCGTGAGCCTTTTAGCAAATCATCAGGAACAGAACATATAATATAAAAATTGAAGGGTGTAACCCATCAAAATATGATCCATGACAACTATTAATGCATGAAGATGAAAATCAGAAGTAACACGCTTAAAGGATCCATAGATCTCACAAGTGTAGTGTGAATAACATTGAGGTTCCTCTCATCAGAGTTGGTTAATAACTTAACCCTATTCATATTTTTTGATTTTTTGCTATGCTTTTGCTTTATGATTCTTTAGTGCCGGTGGATCTGTAATTGTGTTCAAAGACATACGGAGAATATACAATATTGAGAACCTTATGAGTCTTGAACTCTTTTTTTTTTTGCTATAAAAATACTATATCTGTAATTTGTCTTGTGCATCCCAGAGGTAGAAGGACTAGTTTTATGATAAGGAATAAAGATGGTTAATAACCTTCAGATATCAAGATGACAATACTGAAAGAAACAAAATTTCTTGGAAATTCTACATGAAATTGTGTGATTAAATCCTCTTTTTCAAAGAGAAAATGGGTTAGAATAAGTACCAGAATGTAAAAAAGCAGAATACCTTAAGTGCCATGTCATCAATTCCTTTGGTGGTCAGAACAACATTAGCGCCAGCTTTCAGTAGTTTTTCAATCCGTTCCTTAGTCATATCAGCCTCTCTGAAATAGGAAAAAGTGATCTACTGTTGAAACATATGAAACTGAACACAAGATGGCATTACACAGTTACACTAATATTTTTTGAAAAAGAATTAAACACTATGTCCTTAATTATAATAGATTTGGATTATCGCCGTGCATTATCATCTATTCCAGACCAATACTGTTTATACTTCTTTTACACAACTTATATTCAATAAGATAATAAATTTATTCTCATTATAATGAAGGGAAGTTAGTGGATCTAGAAAGCTATACAAACAGTACCTTTGGCGAATTTTCTCAAGCTCCCTGGGATCAGAAACTAATACTTGAACACCCAGTTGCATTTTTGTCTTCTGAAGATTGAAATCAAGACAAGCAATTTTTGCAGGAGAAACCCTGAGAGGCATTCCTTGGGCAGCACGGCCAGTATTAAGAGCGTATCCATTCATCAAAAAACTCTCTCTAGCACTTTTACCATGTGCCTTCAATATATTGATTCCCTGGAGCCCAAATCATATGAAACAGAATTAAATTCATAAAAAGTCTATGATCATTAAACCTCGAGATAAATATATCAGACAAAATCTACTACCAACCTTGATTGGGTATCTAATTTCACCGCGAGCATTGGTCATCCTTACAGCTTGCACTGCATCCACAACCTGCGTAAATTGCAAACAAACATAAATTTCACAACTGAAAATAATACTGACTGCCTACAACTGCAGCTAGAAAAATAAATCAAAAAAAGTAGTTAGCATTCTGTTGATAAACACTCTATACATTCAAAACAAGCCTAAACAGTGAGAATCAAAACTATTTTTGAGAATTACATGGGCCATGACCACAAAAGTTAAACTGTTTAATCAGTGAACTCAATAATAAATCTCCTAGAATCAATAATAAAACCAACAACCCTTTCTCCACCAAAATGTTTCAATCAAGCAATGACATGATCTTGATGACATTCATTCTAGAATTAGAACGACTATTGTCAATGAAGCACTCGAACTGAAAATGCTTCTGTATCATCCTAACATTGACGTCATTGGGATTGATTTTTAAAACTTCTAGAATCAAGAATAAAGCAGTTGTTTCACACTTTCACGTGACACCAATCATACTGTGTTAGGAGACTGGAGAACGCCCAAGGAACATTAATATCGTTGGGATTGATTTTTAAAATTTCTAGAGTCAAGAATAAAGCATTTGTTCCACAGTTTCATGTGACACCATTCATATTGAGTTGGGACACTAGAGGATGCCCAAGGAGTAAGAGAAGAGAGAGCAGTTACTTATTCCGTTAGTTAAAGCATTTGTTCCACAGTTTCATGTGACACCATTCATATTGAGTTGGGACATTAGAGGACGCCCAAGGAGTAAGAGAAGGGAGAGCAGTTACTTATTTCGTTAGTTAAAGGGCAGCAGGGTTTGTTAAATAGATAGGGGGGAATTAGGTCCAATCCAATTCTAAGATGGTATCAGAGCCTGTTCATTAAGGGCCGCCCTCCATTTATAGCTAGCAACAAGCCCAATAGTATTTGGCGTGAGGGGTGTATTGAGAAAAGCCAAAGACTAACATAGAAAACAGATAAGGTCTTAAATGAGTTTATAAAGAGTGACACACCTCACCTTAGAAGCAGATTTTCTAAGAGTTGAATTAGGCCCAACCCAATTCCAAGAGGAGAGATAGGGGGGATCATATTGGGAATTTGACAATTTCGGAGAAAGAAAAGAACATTCTTTGGGGGAGACTTTTGGAAAAAGACCGCTTTACTGCTCTAAATCAATCATTCTAGAAAATTGTTCTTTTCTTATGATTTTTTCTAGTATGATCATCTTCATATCTCTCAGAAAATTGCTGATTGTTAGAATCACCATTTACACATTCAACTCATAACAACAGAGTAGAACCGTGATAATACCAATGAGTATTTTTGAACTCCCTGCCTTTCAAGCAAAAAGTGGAAAGCCTGAGAAAACTACTTCATTATTATAATAGAGATGAGGAAAAGTATATGATATAGATAGCTCATTCAATATCAAGTTTCAAATAATATTTGCAGAGATGAGCCAGAATGATGTATAAAAGCTTAGATCTATAAGCTTTATCCAATTAGAAGTGAACATACTAGTACTTGCAAAATATGGTTTATTTACATCAATTTTAAACTTTTAAAGTATGTAAACACCCAATATTCAATATAAAGTCAAGACAATTACAAACTTACCAAATTAGCAAAGAAGTCACTGTCACCGGCTATCAGCTTTGAGGACATGCTGGTCTTGGCACAGTTAACTAGTGAATCTTTTCCGAGCTTTTCAACCTACAAATGAATAGAACAATCTGACTAAGCAACACATAAAAAATATACAACAGTTTCTAAATGCACTAATTTTTCAAAAGGGTCATAAAACAAGAACAACTAAACCATTGAATGTTTCTTGGGAAAAAGGACAGGGCCCAAGAGATGCAAGCTTTCATAAATCTTAACTATTCATATCAGATCAAAAACTTCTTTTTTGTTTAAGTTGGTGATTTAAACGTGAAATCAAGAAACAGTTAACATAAAAAGTATAGTTAAGTAACATCTCTGGCTTACAAATATGGTAACAATAACATCTATGAATCATCTACGAAGAGTGAGAGATAAGAACAGGAGTAGACCCTAATTCCTGACTAGCCTAACAAATGTATACATAAAAAATAAAAATAAAGGTTTACAGATGACACCTTACCTTGACGGCCAGCTTTTCATCTATGTATTTACACGCCTCTCGCATAGCAAGCTATCCAGAGTAATCAACAAGAGGTTAAAAAAATTATGTCTTATAGAATATCCCAATTCATGCACCAGAATAATGTAACCATAAAGTCAGGCAATATATACATTAATAGAAAAAGAAAAGAAATAAAATTAAAAAATAAATAAACTTACCCTATATCCACTGATAATCGAGGTTGGATGAATCTTATTCCTAACAAGATCATTTGCTCTCTACAAAAAGAACACACTCTATATGAGATTTACTAAATAAATATATAGTGGTAAAATAAAGAGAGTGGATATATACTTTAAGAAGCTCTGCAGCTACAATGACGACGGAAGTAGTACCATCTCCAACTTCTCTATCCTGAAGTTCAGCAAGTTCAACCAAAACCTAAAAAAGAAAACAAAAACAAAAACTGAATGAATAAAAATGAATAAATCAACAGATTGATCAATATCGCAATGAAGTATTGAAATTAGGTTAACCTTAGCAGCAGGATGTTCAACTTCCAGCATCTTGAGTATGGTAGCACCGTCGTTGGTGATAGTAACATCACCAATGTCATCAACAAGCATCTGAAAAAGAAAAACGGAAAAATTAAACGAAAAATGAACGAAAATAGAGTGAACAAGATGCGAATCGATGGATCTTATACCTTGTCGAGACCGACGGGACCTAATGAGGTTTTCACGATGTTCGCAACGGCTTGGCATGCTACAACTGGATTTGTTCATTTGCATAGAAAAAGTGTTAGAAAAACGGTTATTATCGGAGAACGAGAATGTGTGGGAGAGACGGAGAGAGATGTTACCGTTTTGAGTGCGAACGTCTTGGCCGGATTGTCGTTCGCCGGAGATGTCAGGGGTTTGATTAACAAGCGCCATTGCGAAGTGTTTCTGTGTGTCTAGGGCTTTCCACTGACTCACTCTGCTCGTATAGTTACTCTACAAATTAAGGGTTTTGTGTTTCACTTGACCTACCTTACTTCTTTTCTTTATGTTTTTTTTTTCTATGCTTCTTTCTCTTTTCGATTTCTATTTCATTTGGTCATTAAAATGAATTTAATTATTATTCACGATCACATGGCAACAACAAAAATTTAAGAGACATTTTTGTATACGGTAAATAATTATAATCGATTCTTAAAGAAAATGGCTCACTATTTAATAATGTTTAACTTTAAATTCTATCCCAAAAAATTTTCAATCAACTAGTCTCTCAATTTCTTTTTAGTTATTATATTTCTAGACAAAGTTTATTTTATTTATTATTATTTTGAGGCGGATAAATAACTCAACAAAGTGGTCTAACATCAAAGATCGAATTTGTATTACATTTTTTTAAATGATGTATTAGATGAATATTAAAAATTTGAAATTTGAATATTGAAGTCTTTATTGCTTTGAATGGAAAAATAATATTTGTTTTAAAAAAAAAATTTGTTGGAGTAAAATCAAAGTTAGGTGGAATTGATTCTTTAGTATAATGTGTTTGTAGGAAAATACGTAAAAATGATCAAGGAACTACTCGTGTTGTGAGTCAATGATAGAGATTTCTAGAGGATCTGAAAAAGCACATTTGTGAGAAGAGCAAGATGACTTGCCCTGTGAATTATGATGGTTTAGTGATCCACTTGGATGAGATGACCAAGATTTCACCTTAAAGAAATCTTGCTCACGAAGCGATCACACATTTCACCTTGTGAAATGTCACTTGTGAGACTATATAAATAGGAGAAGCAGTTCAAAAGAAATAAGTATGTCTTAGAAATTATGAAATTGTAAAGAACAAGAAAAATGAGATGGTTCTTATCAAAGTGTAGTTCATTTATTTGGGAGAGTCAACTCATTTAATGTGGTTCCATTCTCTCTTAATCTTTGTGGAAAGTTATAATGAGTATGAGTGACTAGTTTTTTTGTATGATGGAATTAGTTACATTAGTTATGATTCTATTGAACAAAAATATTAATCTCGCGATTATATAAAATCTTAATGTTAGTACATACATGTTGTTATTCTCATTCTTAACGTGTCTTCAACATAAAACTTTAAATATTATTTTTTTAATTTAGAAAATAATTTTGCTTTGTTATCAATAAAGTATGTCAATTCATGATTGCATCATTGAATACTCATTAACATTTCGTCAAACAAATTCTAAGGTATCTCAAAATGATTATTTATTGGGATCTCCACCTTTAACCTACATACGCCTCCCTGTGTCACTTCATTTATATTGTGACATTGACTAGAGATCTGGCCCTAGTGACAGGAGATCTATCGCCATGAGCTTGTGTCTTTATTAGTAAAACTATTATCTCATGGTGGGCTAAGAAGTGGTCTATCATGTCTTGCTAGCACTAAAGCAGGGTATATGAGCTTGACTTTGAACTCATATGGAAACAATATATCCTTTCATAGTTCAACATTTCCTACTCACTATAAATATTTATAAACATTAATTGTGATAACATGAGCATAATTACATTTACTTATATCCATATTCTCCATGCTCGCACTACACATATGGAACTAAACTTGTTTTTTGTCAAAAGAAAAAGGTTCTCAATAAGTAAATTTAGGTTCTCCACATCTCTAATCATCATCAGTGTGTTGATATCATGACATATGCACTCCCTCCTACTAAATTTGTGGAATTTAGATCCAAACTACTTGTATGAGATTATTGTATATCCCCTAATTCAACTTGTACAGAGGTATTAAAGGAACTAATATGGTACAAGCCATATAGTAACTATTATGCCCTATTTATACATTATATTTGCTAATGAATAACTATTTCTAACTAATTCTTAGAATCTATAAAACTAATCCCTAATATCTAGGAAGCCAGTTAACAAAATTAGTTAGATGTGTAGTAAGTCTATAAATCGATAACATTTATTGTAATTAAGTTAAAAAAAAAACAAAAAAAAATTGAGAAACCCGGTTAAGATCTCTCTCTCTCTCTTAGGGATGTCAGTTTGGACCTGTTAATGGGGATCCCCGCGGGGAACGCCCCGTTCGGGGCCCCAAAGATGGGGAATTTTCCCCCGTGGGGGCGGGGATGGGGAGAAAAATTCCCCCGAGAGCATTTCGGGGACGGGGACGGGGAATACACCCCCCGCCCCGCGGGGACCCCGCCCCGCCTATTATTTTAATATAGTTAATTTAATATATATATATATATTTTAGATTAGGTTTTTTAGTCATTTCCTTTATGTTTATTTATAAAAATAAATAAATAAATATTCATGTATTTATTAAGAGAGAGAAATGTAAATATTAGTGAATTCTTTGTGCTTTTTATGTAAATATTAGTAAATATTCCTTTATGTGAATTCTTTGTGCTTTTTATTTTTATAGAAAATATAAACATTTTAAAAAAATAAAATATTAATGAATAAATGTAGGATCTATGGGGATCCCCGCGGGGAACGGGGATCCGCGGGGAACGGGGATGGGGATAGAAATTCCCCTGTGACGGAGATCGGGGACGGGGAATGAATTTGATGGCGGGGAAAAAGATGGGGAAGTGTCCCCCCGGCCCCGCCCCGCCCCATTGACATCCCTACTCTCTCTCTCACACACACACACACTCACAATCCATGAATATATAATAATAACACTTACAATCCTTAATGCTTCAATAAATATTGTGTAAAACAAGCATGTTTTTTAATATAGAATTTTAGCGCTTACAATATAAAATGTCTCAATGGATAATCCGGGTAAAACATGCAGAGATAGATTTATATGAACATGTGTGCACAGACCAATGCCCCAATGATTTTTAATATCTTCAATGTACAGTATATAATAGACAAAAGATAATGCATTGTTACAAAGACTAATACAACCATTTGCAATAGGGAATTACTTTTCTCACCCTTGTGAAAAAATAAAAATGTTCTTCAAATATAATGCATTTCAGGACGCACCAAAACATAAGAAAAAAATCTTGAACTGTATTTTTGAAAACTAATGTGTATGACAAACCAGAAACAAATGTAAAAAAACTAACATAAATTAACATCAATTATTGTTACGATATACATTAAAAACATAACATTACATAGATAATTGTTAGAATAAATCTAACATTACATTTCATCATCAAGTGTTGATTGAGGATGTTTTAACATCTTTATGATATTTTAGGTAGATCTCCCAACCTTCACATCCACCTCGACCAACATTTACTTCGTAACAGTGAAATGTGATTCACATAACAATTAAATCTTCATCCATCTTTAACTCAAATTTGTTGAATTGTATCTTTGATTTATTGTCAATCAAGGGTAGATGATAATATAGCTTCATAACTCTTCGATTGACTGAGTAGTAACCATATTCTCTAGCATGGATTTTATATCGACAAGATAAGTGATCTCTGTGAACCTGAATTCAAGAGGGGCCTATCAACATTGAAGTAGAAAAAGTGAGATATGAGTATTGAGACATTTTATGTGTGATTTTGCTAACAATATGAAGGGCACATATATTTATATTGTAACTATTATGCCCTATTTGTACAATTTTGTCTCATGGAATATTTTGGGGATGTACTTCTGAATTCGACTGTTTTGTTTACTAAAATCAAGGTGTATATGAAAATGTAGTTCTGAATTAACCTTTATTAGCACTTTTAAAATAAGGTGTGTCTGGAAGTACATTTTCGGATTCACTCCTAACTGTTCATATAGAACCTGTTATGGAAACAAAACCTATTATAGAGAACAAAAATTTAGAAAATGGAATATACATTAAAATGTATCAAAATGTTTGCAGTTTACATCGTTAATATCAATCCAACATTACATGCAAAGAGCGAGTCACCATCAAAATACATCGTTAGATAAAAACTAAAATTCATTAAGACAAGTACAACCACCTAAATATATATTTATGGGTGGCTCCACCTTTGACTTTTACTTATTTGACTATCTTTTAATCTTGGTTAACTTGGTGAATTCTTTCATCCTATTCAAAATGTAATTTGGCCAAGTTTCAACTTCTTATGTGGAATGAGTTGTCCACTTAGTGATGTTTGTAGTATAAAGCACTATTGTTGTACCCCAAAATTTGCCCTCCCATTTTCATTCAAGATATTCTCCTAGGGTTTCTTGCATGCTCAAGATGGTCCAGGAGTTGATCAGACAGATTCTCCTCCTAAGCATTGAGTCCACGACTAGGGTTTGGTATTTCTCAATCAAGATTGAGTTTCCAAGGTTTCAAGTGGTCTTCATGGTTCTTCGTGTATTCTCAAGGATGCTCATGTCAAGTTTCAAGCCTTGCATCGCAAGTTTGCTCAGTCAATGATTCAGATGACTGGAAATCATCTTCATTGACTCAAAAGTCGACCTTTTTACAATCAAGTTCAAACGATTGTAACTTCTTCATTATTCGATATTTTTGAGTGGTTATTTTTGTGTATGACTCTCCTGACGTCATCTCTAATTTCTCTTTACAAGTCAAGAGTCGACTATGTGTGAAAGATCATCAAAAATTCGAATACTTTAGAGGACTTCGATTCTCATGTTGAGATCGTTCATGGAACAAGATGTTGAGTTCGGAGATTCATGTTGAGTTCAAACAAGATGTTGCTTATAATACAAGTCACCATGTTGGAAATTGATTTAGGATCTTGGGGAAATGATTTGAGGATTCATTTGAATAATGTTTTTTATTTTAATTCAAGTTAGCAAAGCATTACGCGATATCACATGTTTCGTCCAAATTTTCTATGGTTCATTCGCGTGAATTATTTTGAATTCAAGGTATCAAAGATGAGTTCACTAAAATTTTCTCAAATTCAAGCTTCCAATATTCGAGCGCTCATAGGAATGTAAACATGATAAAGTTATGCTTTGATTCATGGTTT